GTCCTCACAGTGAAAGTCCAGACGGGATTCTGGTTTGGAGAGAATCTGGAGTGGGAATCCCTTGGGAAATTCTGCATCTGAGGACTAGGAAAACACCTAGAGTGGTGTCTGAGGATGGGAAAAGGAAGAGAACGCCATCATTTTCAGCACAGGGCAGTGAGCTGGTTGGGTCTTGCTGACTATGGCACAACCACCTAGCTTTGCTCTAGACAGACCTTTATTATAAAGCCTGTAAAATGCTGCTAGACATAAGGAAGAGATACAAATCTGCTGTCCCAGGTAGTAATTATCTTGTCATTGCACATGGTGGCACGGTTGCTGACTGCCAGCTCTTGAAGACCTGCGGGACCCAACAAGAGTTGGGATTAAGGGGTCTTCTGCCAGAGACTAGCTCTTACTATCTGTGGCACTGATGATTATGCCATAGCTCTGAGGCAGCTGCAAGGACATGCAGGCCTGCTAGGTCAGTAGTGCATTGTGTACACTGGTTCCCTGATGCCTTTTCTGTAGGTGGTAGAAAGAAGCAGCCCCTATGGGGAGTCCAGCCTTGGCTCAATGCCTCACAGTAGTTTGTGGCCAGATTCCCCAACCCAAAGCCATACAAAGGAGACTTCTGAGAATTATGGATACTTCTGCTTTAATCTGCTTCATGGAGATACATCAGATAGAAAAATACATAGTCAGAAGTAGCTACAAGCTTTCCAGCACAGGCATAGCTCCTGTAAGTCATCCAGGCTACTTCCAGGTCCTCTGTCCTTCTTCCCACCCAGATGAAAGCGAGACAATAGTACTAGGACTTCCTGCTGGTGCCAAAGTCCTGCTCAAGCTGTAGCTGTTGTCCATTTTGACACTCCAGCTTACTTGATTTAATGAGTACTTAAATCAAGCTCGCAGCTCTGCAGGAGTATCTGGCTGCCGGGACGGGTGGCTTACTTTGAATGCCTCTAACTCCAGGAGAGCTTTGTTTATTCTGGTTATTGTGGGATATGGGCACATGTCCACTTTGAATCTGCAAAAGGAAAAGAATTTGTGAGGTAGTCTTGAGTAAGACATCCAGTGCAGCCGTGAGCAGAAGGTAGAGTAGTGTGCTGTGACTACCCAGTATGGGGGAATCTCACAGGCTGGGTTACTTCTGCATTAAGAGAAAAGGTGCATCCTTGTAGGTTTAAAAACAAATGCTAGAGGAAAGGTTAGTTCTTCCATCTTCACTAGGCTTTACATAGTAAAAGAGCCCTTGAAGAGCACCTCAAGCTTAGCCTTAATTACCTCTCAGCATTGGCAACTTGAGGCACCAAGCACAGATCAGCCATGGAAACCTGCAAATGTAGCAGAGAAAAGAGGTCAGAGTAACTCGGAGCCTGTCCCATCACACTTCACTGTGGTGGTGTCAGGCTTTGACAGCAGGACAGAAATTATTTTATCAGCCAGTACAGAGGAATTGTCACAACAATCCCATTCTTTAATCCAGCATAAATAATAGGACAACAGTACAAGGAGAGGAATTTCATACGAGTCATTAGCAGAAGAAGCCATCAGCCTTTTGGGAGCTTCATATTTACCAGCTGATCATTGTGACCTCTGTGGTGACTGCCTCTGAGCAAACAAGTCTGCTGGCAAGCTGCAGAGGGAGGCAATGGAGGTGGGGAGGGGAGTTTGCATGTCTGGGAAAAGATGAGTACATTTTGCTTGTTTGCATTGCAGGAGTATCAAGCAGCTCTTGCCAATGTCAAGACCTGATATGTAATAGGGCCTTTGTGCACAGGCTCAGGGACTTGCAGTCTGAAAAGAAGACTCAAGGACAACACAGCAAGCTGCCTATCTGCACAGACGCAGCTGCCCCCACCTCACTCCCCAGGTCACAAAGCCCTGGGTGTCATTTAGAGCACACATATTCTCCAGCATGAGATCTTGTAACTAGCCTTTGCCCACCAAGGGCTCCACTAGACAATCCTCTGCATCACAGGTTATTGCAGGACCCTTCCTTCTTGCCTTGAAATCTGCCTGTGTTAAAATTGAACAGAGCAGAAAAATACAATACCACTTGGTTAAAGGTTCCACTGAGCAGAGCTAAGAATTGAACCTGTCTTTCTTGAGCCAAGCTTTGTCTCTATGACAGGACACTTTGAACTCCAAACCTCTGAAAGTTGAAATACATATAATCTCTTTCCACATCCTCTCATAGCAGCCAGATCCTAGATACAGCTGCAGATAGATCTGGCCATCAGCAGGCTATAGGCAGGGACAAGTAAACATCTCCCTAACTATTGGCAAGTCAGTAATGGCCTAAGTAGGATCCATGCAACTGTTTTTCTTATAGTGAAGGCACCACATGTAATTCCAGGCACAGGATGGGGTTGTGCTGTCTCTCTACAACTACATTCTGTTCCTATTTTATGGAATATACTGGGGTTTTCAGTTCTCCAAAGGTACAAAACACTCTCTCAGATACTTACTTCATCCCCCACACAGTAGCGCCCAGCAGTGTTCTGCAGAACCTGTTCCAGTGCTGCCAAGAGAGGTGGTATACTGGAATGAGGCATTGAGAATTAATTTGAAAGGAACACCAAAGGCGCTTTAGACTTGGAATTATGAACAAAGGCATTTTAACACTGAGCTGAGCATGAAAAAGGAGCAATCTGGGACAGAACCTAGAAGGAACAGAAATCTTAAAGGTGTAGTTATATAAGTCTTTAGGATCCTTCAGCCTTTTGGGACCTAGGGTGATTTCAGCTGCTTCAGGCAATGCACCTGAAATACTAAGAGGACAATGTAGAGATATGTGAGAGTGGGATGGGGAAAAATGAAAGGGTTCAGTCAGTTTGTGTCTGTCCAGAAGTGAAGATGGGCCTGCTGTTCCAGCACATGGGGGAAAGGGTTTTGAGGAAACCCAGGGAGGTAAAGAAATACTCTGCTACTTGCTAGATTGTGTGGGAGTTGGCCATTAAATGTATTTTGTCTAATGACAAAATCATACCAATACAGAGTGATAGAACTTTAAAGCACAAGGCACTAGTTTGGGAGCAGGCAAAGGAGAAAGGAAGAAAAGAAGAAAGGTGGAAAGGAGAAGGGCTGTCAGCCCTTATGCATGAGGGTGAATCAACTGCTCCAGTGTACAGGATGGCCTCAGGCTTTTCCTCCTCCATGCACAGCAGTGGAAGCACACTGTGGACAGTATCTTTCCTCTGAGACCCTGGAGTACTACCAGCAGGGCAGTACCCCAACACATCAGCCTAAGGAGATCTGTTGTTCTGCTGGAGGAGGAAAGTAGGACCCCAGTGACACAGAATTTTGAAGGGTCAAAGTGCTGATCATTTGGGATGTGGGACACACCTTGGAAGCCAGATGTGATGCAGTTCTGAGCCCATTCCATATTCTTCTCCCCTATTTGTTTCAGGATCCTCAGATTCTGTGAAGGCAAGTGATCTCCAGGTTAGATTGACCACCACTGGCTGGATCTTACCCACTCCCTCATCCATTGGAGGAGAGGGGAGACAAGGAGCTGCCAAGCCTGAATCCCCAGCCTGAGTTTAGCCTGCTGCATCAGCCCTGACCTCACCCTCACTGAACCATGCACCCTGCTGTATCTCTCTCCTGGGACTGTCCTTCTGTAACAGCTGACAGAGTGTCCCTTTGCCTCTGTCCTTTGGGTTACTCAGTTGTTTTCCTAAATCATAGAATCACAGAATGGTTT